CATCCATTCTTCCATTCACATCCAGAAGATTTTATCAAATGTGTTCATCCAGCATTTTACTTCTAACTGCTGCCCAAAATCTCACTGCTTGTATCACACTTGATCTCTTCTAGTCATGTTCACCTAGGATGTTTCAAAAATCTTGTTATGAAGACATTCTTGTCTACAAAGGGAAATTTGTTTAATCTGAAACAAGACCAACAAACAGAATATATGAAAACATCCAGCAAAGTAGGAAGAAAAGGGTAGCACCCTCAAAATAAAGGATATGATAATCTGTACTTGAAATCATTAGTAACCAGAAAATGCTAACTAAAACAAAATGTCCCTTTATATCCTTTAGAATGGCAAACATTACAGGGATGTGTAACATTGATAAGGTAGTTGGAAAGGTTGTGTGTTGTAGAAATATGACTGGGTAATACCTTTAAAATTAATAATGTCTACGCCTTATGCAGTTGGATACTACCTGTTTATATGTCCCAGGGAAATTCATACACCTAAGGACGTATAGACAAATAACTTCATCATAATGACTGTGCAGCAGCTAGAAGTGAATTGTGGGATTTGCAAGTAACACATTTGGTATGAATGAAATGTTGTAGCACATTTCACTCATTTAGGTATCAATGCAAAGATAAAACAAGATTTTGTTTTTCCACTTGGCACCATACAAGCCTCTTGCAACTTCAGAGTTTTCATTCTTTTTCAATTACAAGAAAATTTAAATTCATGTATTGTCCTTACATCTTCTCTTTTTCTTTTGGGAATCTCAGCATATGAATATTAATATTTTTACTATCTTCTGCATCTTGATTTAAAATTTTTCACATTGCTTTGCCTTATTCCTTCTGGTGTCCTGGGAGAAATAGTTGCCATTCTCACATAGCCCACTAATCTGTTCTTTGGCTGTTTCTATTAATCTCGTGAAGTGTTTCCTTCATGACGATTACTCACGCCCAGTAATACCCCTTTCTTTTGGTAACTATATTTTTACACATACACCCTTAACTGTAATTTTAATAATACCTATTAAAAACATTTTGAACTCTGGATGTCCACATTCCATTAAGCTAGGCCTTTTCATGTAGAGAGAACTTGTGTACTCTTAGTACTAATTCCTCATATGACTGACTCTCCTTAATGTTTACTGGGGTATCTGCAAATCTTGGCTGAGAAAGAGTAGCAGGGAGGTGTGATCCTCTGGTTCCTCCTTCTCTGGTGTGTTTAAGTGGAGGTGTGTATTATAGAAAAGAATGCCCTACCACCTGAAGAGACCCCATTCCTAACTCATCCTTTCCCTCAGGACACCACTTGACATAATCACCCTGGGCACCGTCTCCTTCCTGGAGAATGTCTCCCCAGTCACTGCAATGACTTGAGGGGAGGATGCTCCAGGTTGAACACTCTACCTGTGTCAGTTGTATCCACTCCAGCTGGGCTCAGGCTCTGCTCTAATGGAACCTAAGAGCCGCTGCAATGCAGAGCTGCTTTCCTGTCCTCTGCAGGCACATGGAAGGCTACAATCTGCTTGGTAAATGAGAGCAGACAGAAAAGGAAAAAGTATAATGTAGAAAAAGATCACAATTCAAGTTTTCTTCTGTACTTGTCTCTCCCATTACCTCCCCCATGAAAAAGCTGTCCCATCTGCCATGTTCCCCTTTCATGTCTTTTTTTTTTTCAGTTGGAGTCTCACTCTGACTCCCAGACTGGAGTTCAGTGGCACGCTCACTGCCACCCCAGCCTTCCAAGCAGTTGGAACTACAGGTGCACACTACCACACCCGACGAGTTTTTTTATTTATTGTAGACATGAGGTCTTGCCAAGTTGCCCAGGCTGGTCTCAAATCCCCGGGCTCAAGCAATCCCCTCATCTTGGCCTCCCAAAGTGCTGGGATTACAGTTTTGAGACACTGCACCCAGTCCCTATCATGTCTTAAAGCCCCATTCACCCTGTGTTCCCCCTTTCAAATCTCAAAGTCCTATCTTCCCTGTGTTCCCCCATTCATGTCACAAAATCCCATATGCCCTGTCTCCACCAGCCATGTCTTTAGTTCTCTGGATCCATACACTGCTCTTATTTTCATGGCATCTCTAGGATTAGGCTATGAAAACAAGCTACTAGCCCACACTAGTTCATCAATTTGGCAGGAACCATTTACTTTCAATTCAATGAAGGAAAAACCAATTTATTTTTGATGTAGTTCTGTGATAAGACGAAAAAAGCAACATAAATTTTAAAATGTATTTTCTTTTGGGCTTCATTTTGCTTACCTAGAGGCATTCTATAAAGCTGGCAATTATTTGGGCTGCAATCACGTGGCTTATTATACACCTTCTTTGAGGAGCTTGACTGTACAGCACAGCTAGGCACACTGAGGTGGAATAGAATGTAGCCTTGGTGTTAATATCGTGTCTTCACTCTGACCTATTTGAGAGGCCACAGAAGCAACGACTGAAACACCCATTTCACCAATGCTGGGATAATAAAAAGAAATTATTTCACCTCTACCTTCCAGGAAGGGCCTACCTCCTGCTCAGCCCTCGAAAATCTCTTTTAATTTATGAAGCACAAACTATATTATTAAAGAGGTAGAGATAGCTTAGGACCACTTATATGTACTAGACCCTTTGATGTGTAGGCAGTCCACAAAAGAAGAATATGGCAAACCATTTGAACTTTTAAAATATTTTACTTAAAATGCAATTGTGTAATTAAGGTATAATGATACACCAGTATGGGACCTTTGCAGATACCATTTCAACAAATATACCATGAATATGTAGCTCCTACACAAAACTATACAACTTACCAGACTTTTAATTCCTGTTATGCATCATACTCATACTCATCTAGAAGAATATGGAGAAAAAGTGCTGAGCAACAAAAGCAGGAGTCATGTGTGATTTTAATAAATGAAAAATATGGCATTTCAGTTCCATGGTAAAAGGTAAATAATTAAAATGAATAGCTATCAGGCCAATCATTTGAAAGCAAACAAAATTAGATCCATACCTCACACCATATATTGTCAACTAACAGTGTAACAATGATCCATGAATAATATAAATTAAATAACTTCACACAAAATTTATTCCGTGTTATCACAGGGGTTCCCTACCCCTGAGCCGCAGACCAGTACCAATCTGTGGCCTGTTAGAAAATGGACCACACAGCAGGAGGTGAGCGGTAGGCAAGCGGAGCTCTGTCCCCTGTCAGATCCGTAGGGGCCTTAGATTCTCAGAGAAGCATGAACCCTATTGTGGACTGCACATGCAAGAGATCTAGGCTGTGTGCTCCTTGTGAGAACTGAATGCCTGCTGATGCCCCCCTTCACTGTCTGTTGAAAAACCTCCATGAAACTGGTCCCTGATACCAAAAGTTTGGGGACTACTGACTATCAGAAAACGGGATACACCTGACACTGTGTCAGGTTCCAAAGGTTAATTTCACAGGTCAATGACATGACAGTTCAAAGAAGCATACACATTTAGTTGTTTCCGGTTGATTTCTAATGCTCAAACTTTTTATGCCAAAATTTACAGAAAATAAGATAAATCTCTATAGTAACATCTTAAAATAAATGACTTACCTAAAGTCCACTTCTGAATTGCATAACTCCTACAAAAGTATAACTGTGTTAGTTAGAATGTCACAGTTGTTAGTAACAGAGCATCCTAAATCAACTGACTTAAAAATTAATTTAGTCTCTCACAGAAGAAACAGTCCAGAAGTGGAGTGGCTACAGGCTAGTTGGTTTAGTGGCTCAATTACATCATCCAGGTCCCAGGTTCTTCCGATCTTTCTGCTCGGGCCATCATAAAATACAATCCATTGTTGAAAGATGGTTGCCAGGCACCACATCCAGACAAGGTACAGTGCTCCAAAAGATCTATTTTACCTTGCTTGAATCCTTGAATCTTTGAGAGAACCTTTTCCAGAAACAGCCTGCCAGATATCTCCTTTGTTTATCTGTCTAGAATTGGGTCCTATATGATTAATTTAAACCAACTGCTGGCAGTGAGAAAGGGAATGCCATTGACTGAAACTAATCAGGATTTATATCTCCTTTCCTTTGAGAAGAAAAGAATACCCAAACTGCCAGCAAAGAGTAAGGAGGGAGTGACTAGGAAAGTCACTCAGCAACGTCTGGCACAAATGCTTAATACTGTGATCTTAATTCATTTAGTAATGGGAAGAATCAGAGCATGAGATTTCAAAATACTATTGTATCAAATAAAAATACAGTTAATTCCTATGTTACACAGCATTGTGCTCTGCACACTTAGACTTAAGTAAGCCTATACATAAAAAATAGTAAATGAAAAACAAGAGATAAAAGTGGGAAACTTTTAAGTACATTTTAAAATTGTATAGAGTGCAATGAATGAGTGCTATAGCAGTTTCTCACTCCAGGAGACTTCTGTCATTAACAATTTAAAATTACCTAAGCAAGGTTTTCTATCTATCTTATACATAGATTTCTATCTGTTTTACTGACTTAGATACAGTTGAAGATAATACAAAAATCACTGATTCTTTATGAATGATATAGTTCATTAACAATAACCAAATACATTTATAAATGCCAGGGAAGAATCCAAGAAAAAGTATACTTTATATCTATAAAAAGCATACTTTATATTTATTTCAGTGACAATGTATATTAAGGTATTAACATGGTAGTGCTATTTAGAATGGATAATCTTACCATACATATTACAAATTAATAAGGATACAGCTGGACACAGTGGCTCATGCCTGTAATCCCAGCGCTTTGGGAGGCAGAGGTGAGAGGACTGCCTGAGCCCAGGGGTTCAAGACTAGCCTGGGCAACTTGGCAAGACCCCGTCTCTACAATAAATCAAAAAATTAGCCGGGCATGGTGGTGTATGCCTGTGGTTCCAGCTGCTTAGAAGGCTGAGGTGGAAGGATTGCCTGAGCCCAGCAGGTCGAGGCTGTGGTGGCTGTAAGCATGCCACTGCACTCCAGCCTGAGCGACAGAGTGATACTCCAACTTAAAAACAAAAACAAATTAATAAGGATACAATGCTTTTTCAAACTTAACATACAAATCCTGCAATGTAACACATTAAAAACAAAAAAAATCTCCAAACGTAAGTCCCATATTCTTTGGGAACTAGTTGTATATTAATTTAATGTTATTGATTAGTTAGCCATCCTCATGATTTTACAGTTTCTATTTACACAAGGAGTATGCTTACTCACAGCAGGTATCTCTGGGTTGTTTTTTTTTTAATTAACAAAAAATTTGCTATGGTATCAGAAACATTATCTCTTAGTATTAATAATTTCCAAATGATGTTTTCCACATTTCTTAAATTGATAAAATTCCCGTAAACTATGAATTATCTGTTATGTCAAACAGTTCTAATCCAAGATGAAATATATATACATTCTAAGTATTTATGAATTTTTACTCCTGTATAATATGATATCTAATGACTCATGTGGTCTTGTTGCAATCATGCTTTCTGCTATGAGTTTTCAGATTATGAGTGCTTATCCACACTCACTTGTGTGAGTTCTCTGATGTACATGTCTGACCTCAGGAAGGAGTTACTTCTCCATTACATTGAAAGGGTTCTGTGACATAACTGAGGTCTTACTTCAGAGAAGCCTTCCTACATCTATTATGTTCACATTCCCTCTCCTATGAATTCTCTGATGGCTATTGAATGCTGATTTGTGGTAAAATTTTTTCCCACATTCAGTACATTCATAGGGTTTCTCTCCTGAATGAGTTCTATAGTGTACAGTGAGGTATGACATCCGAGAGAAGGCTTTCCCACATTCGTTACATTCAAAGGGTTTCTCTCCTGAATGAATTCTATGATGTATAGTGAGATATGACATCTGAGAGAAGCATTTTCCACATTCATAACATTCATAGGCCTTCTCTCCTGTGTGTGTTCTCTGATGTCTATTAAGGGCTGAATTCTGGCAGAAGGTTTTCCCACATTCGCTACATTCATAGGGTTTCTCTCCTGAATGAATCCGATGATGTATAGTGAGGTATGACATCTGAGAGAAGAATTTCCCACATATATAACACTCATAGGGTTTCTCTCCTTTGTGTATTCTCCGATGCCTGCAAAGGGCTGAGTTCTGGTAGAAGGTTTTCCCACATTCACTACATTCATAGGGTTTCACTCCTGAATGTGTTCTATGATGTATAGTGAGGTATGACAACTGGGAGAATAATTTTCCACATTCATTACATTCATAAGGTTTCTCTCCTGTGTGTACTCTCTGATGTCTCATGAGGGCTGAATTCAGGTAGAAGGTTTTCCCACATTCATTACATTCATAGGGTTTCTCTCCTGAATGAGTTCTATAATGCACAGTGAGATATGATAACCGAGAGAAGAATTTTCCACATTCATTACATTCATAGGGTTTCTCTCCTGTGTGGGTCCTCAGGTGGGTAGTAAGAGTCGACTTGCGACAGAAGCATTTCCCACATTCACTACACTTATAGAGTTTTATGCCAGTGTGAATTTTCTGATGATCATTAAGTGCAGATTTCTGAGAGAAGGTTTTCCCACAGTCATGGCAAACATAGGGTCTCTCTCCTGAATGTGTTCTCTGATGTTGTGTGAGGTGTGTCTTCTGGCAAAAGGATTTTCCACAATAACTACATTCATAGGGCTTCTCTCCTGAGTGAGTTCTCTGATGTTGAATGAGGTGTAACTTCTGGTAAAAGTTTTTCCCACATTCATTACATTCATAGGGCTTCTCTCCTGTGTGTGTTCTCTGATGTACAGTGAGGGTTCCTTTTTGGCAAAAGGATTTCCCACACTGATTACATGCATAAGGTTTCTCTCCTGTGTGAGTCCTCTGATGTATAATAAATTTTGACTTTTTACAGAAGGATTTTCCACATTCACTGCATTCATAGGGCTTCATTTCCATGTGAGAACTCTGATGTACGCTGAGGTTTGACATTTGGAGAAAGGCTATTTCAGATTCATTCCACTTATAGGGCTTCTCTTCCATGTGATTAACAAAAACTGCATCCTTTTGGAAGGCTTTCTGGCATTCAATATACTCAAAAGGTTTCTCCAACATATGAATTTTCTGATAAATATTTTCTTCATTTAGTGTATAAGGTGCCCCATTTTGATTAAATTCATAAGTTTTATCTTCTGGATGAGTTTTCTCAAGCTTAATATGGAGAAGTGATTTCCCACATCCACTACATACATCAGGTTTCATTCTTGCATAGCTTCCATCACTACTAATATATTCTGAAACAGATGTTAAACTCTTTTCACATGAGTCACACAGGCTGTTTTTATGGGCTATTTTTCTTGAAGGATCAAGGTTTGTTTCTACAGTAAAAGGTTTACCAGGAACATTACCTTTCTCTTCAATATGAGTTTTGTTGATGAACACAGTTTGCCTTAAATGTTTATCTTCATCTTCTTGGACACTCTCCATTAAGTCATCAGTTCTCCAGACTTCACCTAAAGAGAGACAAAATTAACCAACTTTTGTACATCTTCCTATATGAAATAAGGAATGAGACTTAGAAGACTTGTTTACAAACATCTCATTGTGGTTAGATGCTAGTTTCATGGACAGATGAAAATAATTCCAAGCGTACCTCCCCCCTTGTTCTTTTGGTTTAGAATAAAACATACATACACACACATACCGCCAGGGGTGGGAAAAGAAGGAAGTAAGCTGACGCAAACAGTTTGTAGGAGTGTAATAAGCACCTGAGAAATTACAGGAGTTAATAAGCACCTTTGATTTATACTACCTTATGTTTTGCTCAAAACTCGATATGGAAGGTAAAATGTAACACAGAACAATGATGCGTAGACAAAAGATAGAATATCTACAAAAGATGAGTAGCTGACAAGGTAGATACCAACAGCATGATGAGAAATGCTGCTGAACATGGAGAGTCATAAGGTTTATCCAAATAGTGATCTGTTTTGGAGGAGGTGGATCAGCACTTTATACCGTATCATTTCATATCAAGTTGGAAAAGACAGATTATACTCTAAGGCATTACCACTTTATACTAAGATTTTTGTGGTCATGCTTTAACTAGTCTACAACCTTCCAAACTATTTTGCTTTTCCTCCCATTCCACACAATAAATAAACTTATATCTACATGTTCTCATGTTTATTGGAAGACCCTATTAACTAGTGCTTTAATTCTAATTCTGTTTCACTTGAAAGAAAAATCCCAAGAATACATATATGCCCAAAAGAAAATGTAAAATAGTCCACAGAGCATGTAATCCTTTCAAAAGTTTTAGATTTTGTAAATATTAATTATAGATTCTAAATATTCCTTAAATATCATGTCATTTCATGCTAAACCCATTCTGACCGTGGTATTCTGTATATTCCTCTCTGGACAATATAGCATTAACTCTGGTAGGGTGATCTTGGGCAAGTTACATAACAGTTCTCTGTAGTTGGCATACTCCACCTATCAAGTAGAGATGAAATAAAGTGCTCAAAACAGCATCTGACACAAAACACGTGCTTCATAAACCCATCAACTATTTTCCCCATTTTTCACTCTCCTGACAATTTCCTTACACCAGTCCTGTCCCTGACATACTGATTATGGGAGTGTTTCCCCCACTCATGAGTGGCATTTAGTGTCTAAACCTTTAGAATCAGATCCCTCACCCTGCTCTTAAAATACTTTTATTTTTACTTATCTTAGAACTTTCTGGAGGAACCTACTATACTTGCTGTCATTCACATTAAGTTAAACCGTATCAACCTTATCCTCCAAAACCTACAGCTTCCCTGAATCCACTGCCAAAACATCAACAGATAAAATGGAAAAAAGGCTGGGCATGGTGTCTCACACCTGTAATCCCAGCACTCTGGGAAGTTGAGATGGGAAAACTGCTTGCACCCAGGAGTTCAAGACCAGTTTAGGCAACACAGCAAGACCTCATCGCTACAAAAAATATACATTGGGCATGGTGGTGTTAGCCTGTAGGAGGCTTTGGCAGATGAATTGCCTAAGCCTAAGTGTTGGAGGATGTGGTAAGCCGTGCATGATCATGCCATTGTATTCTAGCCTGAACAACAGAGTGAGATGTTGACTCAAAAAAAAAAGATAAAAGATAAAAATTCCTATAATCCCAGCACTTTGGGAAGCTGAAGCAAGTGGACTGCCTGAGTCCGTGGGCTCAAGACCAGCCCAGGCAACTTGGTGAGACCTCATCTCTACAATAAATCAAAAATTAGCCTGGTGAGGTAGCACATGCCTGTAGTTCTGGCTACTTGGAAGGCTGAAGTGGAATGACTGCTGGAGCCCAGCAGTTTGACACAGGGGTGGCTGTGAGTGTGCCACTGCATTCCAGCCTGGGCAACAGAGTGAGATTACAACTCAAAAAAAAAGAAAAAAAAAAAGATAAAAATTCCTGATAAACAATACTTTTCACCACCAGCATTCACAATATGATTCCAAATTAGGATGGCAGTTATTAACAATATTCTGTTCCAGGAAAACCAAGCTATTTATTGGACAAGGAGGGTCATAAGATATTTCCAAGTTGGGATTTGTTTTGAAGGAAGCAGGCCCACACTTCACACTTTACCATGTCATATCAAGTTGGAAGAAACAGGTCATGATCTAAGGCGTCACTGCCTTATGTTAAGGTTGCTGTGGTGTCCAATCAATGCCCAGCGCATTTTACCCAGTCTCTGCTCCTATTTTACTCAGTTTGCTGGACTGCTTGTCTTCATCTAAACCTGTACTTAAATGGGGTTTCCATGCCTTAAAAAATACTTCTCAAATCTTTTCTCACCTCAATTAATTCTATTTTCCCTTGAAGCTGAAAGTAATTACTGCCCATACTATCATTTTAGCATGAAGTGATCCAGCCATGCATTGGAACATCAGCATTCCATGTAAAACACTGAGTTTTAAATTACTTTAAATAGCTCTGTTCTCTTTTCTAGGCCAAAACATATCTCCTAGGAAGTATGACACTATTTCCTATGAACCTCTAAATAGAAATCAGAGAGGCTGTTTTTAAACTGAATCACTATTTTTCTACTACTTGCAAAATATATGGGGATGTGCCCAGGCATACATACTTAGAAATAATTGCTTATAAGTTATTTCTTTTCTTATTTTTCTTTTTTTTTTGAGTTGGAGTCTCACTCTGTCACCCAGACTGGAGTGCCATGGTCGCTCCCGGCCACCGCAGCCTCGACATGCTGGGCTCTGGCAATCCTTCCGCCTCAGCCTTCCAAGTAGCTGGAACTATAGGCGCGCGCTACCACGCCCAGCTAATTTTTTTTTTTTTAATTTATTGTAGAGATGAGGTCTCATCAAGTTGCCCAGGCTGAACCCGCAGGCTCAGGCAATCCACTCACCTCGGCCTCCCAAAGCGCGGGATTACAGGCTGAGCCACCGAACCCGGCTTATAAGCTATTTCTAAATGAAAGGACATAAAAGTTATTTCACCTACCTGACACCTCAGAGAATCAAAGAAATAAATGTCTATTCTATGTTACATACTACATCAAGGGAGGAAAACATGCCCTTTTCTTTATAAGGTTATAATCCAAAAGTGCAAAGAAACTCAAGCAAAATATTTACACCACCGAATAAAAATTACTTGATCAGACTAATGTCTTTATGGGATCACTAAGAGAAGGAAGGTATCAGAGCAATAAGAATCAGGAAGGAAAAACTTCAGAAATGGTTGAAAATTTGAGTTCAGACACAAAGAATGTCTTACGTGGAGAAGGAAAGCATACCCTAATGAAATGTAAAGCTGTAGGAACAATAATCTCATAAGGAGTTGACATTAGGAGTGTGGCTCAAATGGAGGGAAACAAAAAGAAATTTACTTTTTCCAGGCAATACAGAGCTAATATTGTGATGATCCTCAAAGGAAAATAAATTGAAATTCCCTTTAAGAAGTTATAGTATGTAGGTATTAGGCTTATCTTGTGAGGCTAGTGATAAGACCAACTAGAAACTTTAGATGGGGACATACCACAAATCCATTTAGATTTCAGAGCAATCCAGGCATGACAGAGTACAGTTCTTGTTTATATCAAGTTAAAAAAAAGAACGGAGGATACAGAAGATAAATTAAGAGATTTCACACTGAATGAAACCCAGTAATACTGGAGAGGTCAGTAATACCTGATGAGAAGAGGATAATTTTAGTGATTTCATAGGGGCCACTATAGAAAAAGAAGAGGATGGCATAATTTAATAAATAAAGGGAGGTAGAAAAGGTGATTAATAATTACAATTTGGAAGACTTCATTATCAAGTTCCAGACTGATGACAATGAGAGCAGCACTGCACTCCTATAAAAAAGCTAGAGCCCAAGCGGGTAGAGCCATCAACCCAGGTGTGAACAGCATAAAAACAAACAAAAGCCCTGCAGACTTGACATTGGAGGACCTTTGGGAATCTCATAAACAAGGAAATCACAGCAGGTAGACACAGATCCTTTGGAGACATTTCTGGAAGTGGTGGAAGGAAAAACTAGACTTTCATTTATTTATACAATGACAGGACATCATTCAAGGCATTAGGAAAGAGCAGTAAGTAAGGGACAAGATGAAAATGAGCACTTGGTAAGAAAGGGAGACCCAATTACTGCAGTCATCAGACTTTAGGAGGGCTGGGTCTCAGGAACCATCAGCACTGCCAAATGAAGCACAAGTGAACAAAATCTATTGGCTTAAGCACAGCATGGGGATTTTGGAATCTGACCTCACAGAAAGAGAAGAAAAATGCAGAAATGGGGATAGAAAGAAGTCTGGCATTTCACATTAAAGACAAAAAAAAAAACCTGGAGGGTAATAACATAAGAATCATGTAAGTTATTTTTTAATGACAGATTAATAAATGTCTAAAAACAAAAGAAATCTATGATAGTAATTACTGAGAATGCTAGGAGAGCAAGCAAAGACCCAAAGTTTATGAGGAAAAAGGAAGTGACTGGATTCTGATTCTGTGTAGTGGTAAGCACAGCAAAGCTCTGTAGATGTATTTCTATGGGGAAGGAAGAAGTCTCTGGGCACTGAATTCAGGTACCTAAAGCATAGAAATAACTATCTTTAGTCATTTCTAAAGGTTTGGGATCATTTAAAAAATTTCTGGGAAAAACACTCCCAAGTTACCAATCTCCTCACTGCCTCCACTAACACACCTGGATAGCTCTGAAGTAGGAATTCTCCTTCTACTATCCATGGTTCTTCTCCTTGCTCCAACTTGATGATAACATCCGGTTTGATAATGTGATACCCTGTTAATGAGAAATGAAAGAGAACTTGAGCCCAGCTGCTTGGCTTCAGGGTCTCTGTCATACAGGGAAAGTGCTACTTGTGCTTTATAAAAATCAGAACTTTTCACTGGGGTAGGTCAAGAACAAAATGCCTGCCTGGTGCCCAAAACAGATTACTCACATTTGTCCCATCAAATCTGAAGTTAAGGTCATTAAATTGGAGAGAAACCCCATATATTTTAGCAACTGAGAAAGCACGCTCTCCTCACCCACAGAGACTAGATTGCTGTAGTTCTCCAGCATCACATCCCTGTATGTTATCTTCTGCTCAGGGTCCAGCTGCTGCCATTCCTCCTGGGTGAAGTCCACAGCCACATCCTTGAATGACACTGGCCCCTGTAATGGCACCGTGATTGGAATTGGGTGATGTGGAAAAGGCAGATGGGGACAAGATCTTACCAAGCTCACTGATAAAGTTAACCACGAATATTGTATACCCTATTCTATGCTATAGGTTGTGAAAGGAAAACAAACATATCAGAAATACACTGTCATGAGGTTCATTCTGTATACGGTAAAGAAAAAATACTGGGCTCACATTGTGAGTGAGGAACAATTCTGGCTGTTAGAGACACTAAGACCAGCAGGCATAGCTCCTGCCCCCCAAGGCATACAGGGGGGGCGCTCATGGAACAATAGGATGCACTTTGCTCCTTTGAACACTCTTCATTTTGTTTCTAGAACATTAATAATGCTGGTTCTCTTCATACCTTCCTGACTACTCCTTTGCTGGCTCCTCCTCTCCTCCAAGTCATCCTGAATTTGGAGGGGCCTATGGCTTAATCTTTGGTCTTTTTCTATTTGGTATCTGTACTTGATGCTTTGATGATAAGCTCACCTGGCTTCCCAGCTAATTTAATTACCATCCATACACCAACATTTTCCAACTTTGTATCACCAGCCCAAATCTCTCTCCTAAACTCCAGATATGTATGTCCCAGATCTCAAATTCAACATGACTGAAATTCAGTTGCTGTACCTGTCCAAACCTCCTCCTCCTATAGCTACTACTGGATCCAATCTGCAATATTTGCCATAACTACCAAAACAACAAGCAAGATACATTCTAGTTTTGTATTTTATGTCAAGGGTAAGCAGGTCCAACAATGAATGGCTGTTATCGGTAATAGCTTGGCTTGAGTGTCCCTAATTCCCAGCTGGGAACCCTAAATTCCCTTTCTTCTCATTTTACATATTCCAGGAAAGGAGACACACATTCCGGAGGAGGGATAGACAGCTTACCTGTAAACTGTCAAAACTATATCTTTAAATGTGTGTCTTTTGACTAAACCAATCTATTCACAAGTACTCAAGTACTCACACCAGCCATCATAATTACTTCATTTAGTATCATCACCTCTAAAATAAAGAATGGTATTAAATGGATTAATCTGTGGAAAAAAACTTAACAGTGCTTAAAAAATATATATATATATATTTATATATATATATGTACCAATGATATCTACGGTTATTACTATCTACTATGTGTCTTATCACCTTCCCAATTAAGACAAAAAATTAACCACAAAATATAGAAGTTAGGTTTAAGCAACTAAAGGTAATGTGGCTGAGGGTGACTGGCATGGAGAGTGTCCAGTTGCTGACAGGACACACAGTGGTGGAAGAAGTGGTTCCCACCCCAGCCAGATGAATCCATGTGCAGAATGACCCCAGCAGGCGATGAGGCCATCTCAGAGAGCAACAGCCAGGCTTCCAGAAGCTCTGCCCACACTTCATTCAGACATCACTAGGTATGACTGTGGCTGCCCATGAAAATAGGGGGAGTCCAGAAGTTCACACATCACATCACTCTGCCTTGGTGAGCAGAAACAACTTGTTTACTTCTTAGTAAAGTGAGACTGGTTTCATTTATTCAAGTGATGTGTCCCTGTTTAGTCTGTCCCTCAATATCTGTCAGTACAGTCATTGGGCAATGGGTGAAAACAAGCAAAAGACTTTCAAATCACCCAAAAGAAAAGGGGAAATGTAGAGAAGAAAGCTATTCATTTAGGAAAATTCACAAAAGGAAAGCAAACAAATAATAAAAATGTATTATAAATAAAAACACAGTAACATAAAAGTAGTAAGACCATATATCTGTGATTCCAGTAAGTGTGAAGTGATCAAATCTCTATTTTAAACCAGAATCTCTCTTGCATTAAAAATATTGCAGGGACATGACCTTTATCAAACACATGCTTAGAACTAAACATACCATTTCATTCACATTTGTTTTCTATAGATCTTATATAATTTATTGGTTTTTGAGTCTTTCCATTAAGGGATTCTGAGTCATCTTCCTGAAAAGGAATATTTCTTTAAAAAAGTAGGTACGCATGCTGGGCTCGGTGGCTCAGCCTGTCCTACGCCTTTGGGAGGCTGAGGTGAGTGGATTGCCTGAGCCCGCGGGTTTGAGACCCACCTGGGCAGCGAGACCTCATCTCTACAATAAATCAAAAAATCAGCCAGGTGTGGTAGCGCTTGCCTGTAATTCCGGCTACTGGGAAGGCTGATGTGGAAGGATCGCCGGAGCCCAGCAGGTCGAGGCTGCGGTGGCCAGGAGCAGATACTGCACTCCAGTCTGGGTAACAAAGTGAGACTCCAACTCAAAAAAAAAAAAAAGAAAAGTACGTACTCTCCCAGAGGTAGGAGAGTGTTCATATTTGTGGATAAATAAATGAATGATTACTTAATAAAGAATGCCAGCTGAAGGAAAAGAAGATATTTGGGGATCAAAAAAGTCAAATAAGTCAATCACATAAGTTCTTTATTAAAGGTCATTACCAAATGCAACAAAAAGAGGGGGCACAGAAGAACATTTCTAATTTTAATGCATACATAGACTAATATGTACCTTATGCTAACTTTGTAGTTTTGCATTTGTAATTCCAAAAAATGTGCAATTTGTGGAAACAACAGTACAATAGAAAAAAATTAGTTTTAATTTGGAATGCAAATAAAATGCATGCACTGTGAGTGCTTGAAAACAGCATTCACATGAATGTTCGAGGCAATTCACTCACCTCGGCCTCCCAAAGCACGGGATTACAGGCTGAGCCACCAAGCCCGGCCGACTTGTAAGTACTTTTAAATAATTATGCTTTTTTCCAGTTTGGTTCATGTTAATAAACATTTTCTCCCAAGTTGATTTGTCTTTTACTTTATTTTCCAGTATTACCATATACTTCTTCAATATTTTCATTTTGAGGAATGAAGTATTTTATAGTTTTAAAATTTCTTCCCTTTATGCATAAAAGTGACCTTGGGAAAGCTATTTAAACCCATCACCAAATAACCCATCGCCAGGAGCGGCCACTGCACTCCAGTCAGGGCTACAGAGTGAGACTCCAACTCAGAAAAAAAAAAAAAAAAAAAAAAGTACTTACAAGTCAACAAGAAAAAACAAAAGCCAAAAAATCATGATAAAAAGGTTGATAGTGGACATGAACAGACACTTCATGCAAACAGAAATGGGTCAGTCTAAAAAGGCTACAAATGAAATGGTTCCAACTAACATGACATTCTGGAAAAGGCAAAAATATAGAGACAGCAAAAAGATCAGTGGTTGCCAGGAGCTGAAGGTAAGAGGAAGGAAGGAAGGGATAAATACATGGAACACAGAGGACTTTTAGTGCAGTGAAACTATTCTACACGATACTGTAATGGTGAATCCATGTCATTATACATTTGTCAATCCTTGAACTGTAAAACACAAAGAGTAAACCCTACTGCAAACTATGGATTTAAGGTAATAATAATGTACCAATATTGGTTCATGAAGTATAACAAATATACCACAGTGATACAATATGCTAATAATAGGGGAAATGGAGAGGGGAGAGTGTATGGAAATGCTCTGTGCCTTCTGCTCAATTTTTCTGTCAAACTAAAACTGCACTAAAAATTCGTCTATTAATTTAAAAGAAGAAATTTCTCCTAAGTACGTGAAAATATATTTAAACCTCAACCTCAGTCATGATTAAGAAAAAATCCAAGCCTACTGACATGCAGCAGGGCTGGGATCAGCCAGAACACCCTACATCCTATTCCTCTCCTGCCTGAATCCTCCCCAGAACTCCAACTCCACTTCATGTTTTCACAGTGTCAGTCTCTACTTGTTACTACATCTTTTTATCAGATGACTCGCTTTTCCAGTTTTACATTCTCTGCAGGACAAAACCAAAACTCAGGTGGCAGTGGTGGCTCCTGAGTCAGTGTTAACATTTGTCCCTGAGAAGGAAGCCCAAATCTGAAAGAAGGAAAAATTCTCCTCAGCCCTCCAGGTACCTTACTCGGGCTCCTCGTGCTGTTCTCATGAGAGCCTTTACAACTGCCACTAACCTAAACTATCCCGGGGCTGGTGACCCCTACCCATATGACTTATACCTTTCCCTTCACTGAATGTTGTGCCTGAGTCACAACACTTTGACAACAACTTTCAAATCGGACTTCAACGTTCTTCACTTATTGATTAGAAGGATTCCCATTATTCTATAATTGCTTCTATGAATTATCCCTTCCAAGGCGAATATAAACTCCTTGAGAAAGAAGTACGTCTTAAAATCACATCCCAGACCTGAAAACATATGCTGTAAATGTCTCAGAAAAAAGACAAAATACTAGATGAAGAAAAGGTTCACAAAAGCAAAGAACCAAGCAAGCAGGATGCTTCCTCAGAGAATCCTGAGGAACAGAACAGAAACCATCTGCATGGACAGAAGTGGTGTTCCAATTGCTTTCAGCTGAGAAGCCCCACAGTACTTACATAAGCTCCCCAAAGAGTAGCAAATTACGTTCATACTGAAGAAATGAGATGGAATTTCAGACAAGAGAAGGAAAGTAAGCTCTCCCAGGTCTCTGCGCTGTGCGTGCTGATGGTCAGGATGGAGCTGTTCTCTCCCTAAACCTGCAACCTCACACTCACTCTCAGCTAATCAGCTAGCTCCCTGAGAAGATGGAAGCAAGCATAAGGAATGGCTCATCTAACCCAGCTCTAACCACCTGCTGGGACACCTCCAACCCTTCCACATCACATCTGTCCCGTCTCACAGACTCAAATAATCTCCGACTGCTTTCCCCTCCCAGCATTCACCAAGTATTCATTCTTGATTAGATCAACCTCATTGTTATTTCTCCCATTAAAACCAAACTAAAAATCCTTTCTTCACCGCCACTCCTACTAGAGCTTTTCTCCAATTTCTCTTTTCCCTTTAAGGCACAATTTTGCAAAAAAGTTAGGAATCGACCAAATCCGAGTCTTCTACCACTCTCCTAAACCTCTCCAGTCAGAATAGACCCCCTACAGATCCAGCTACAAATCCTCAGGGAGTCACATGACCTCTCCAGGACTAAACCCAACAGCTATTTCTCAATCCTCATTTGGCTGGGCCATTAAGAGTATTTGACACAATTGACCATGGCCTCCCTGAAGTTTCCATTCTCTTGGCTTTAAAAACTGCACACTCCTAGCTTTCGCCTTGGTTTTCACTCAGCGCCTTCCCAGCTCCGCCTCCTCTACCATTCTCTGCACGTGGAAGGGCCCAAGACGCCCTGGGCTGCCTCTGATGCCGACTCCCAGTCCAGACTCACCTCCTGAACACTCCACTCCCCCTGCGTATCGGCCTTCCTGAAGTTGCCACTTCACCTCCTACTAACAGCCCAAATTCAAAACGTCAAACCCTAATTCTGGCCTTTTCTCAAACCTGTTTATTCCACAACCATCCCCATGCCAGTTTAAGGCAACCTTTTTTTCTTAGTTATTCCGGGAGCCTCTCAAGTGCTGTCCACGTGGAGGCAGCACAACATGATTAACGCTTTAGAGAAAGACACTTTAGGGAAAAACACCTGAACTAGTGTTGGAACGAAGGAGCAGTATAGAAAGGAAATTTCTGCAATAGTCCAGAATAAAATAAGCTATTTTAATGATAGCAGGGATGGAATAAAGGAAAAGGATAAAAACCTTGACATTAGCAAACTTGAACAACAGCATGTGGTAAGAGAACAGACAAGGAGTTTAGAAAGAATCTCAATTTTCTGGATAGGGTTACAGGCTAGCACGATGGGTCAATGAACTGACAGGAAGAGTGGAAGGCATAGGTGGGAGGTTGCAAATAATTATTTTTGGATTTACTGCATCTGTGAACTTGAGGTGTCCTTTGGACACATTCCACGAAAATGCTGAGTAGGTGACTGGACAGAGGCATCTGATCCACATGGGAAAACCAACACAGAGCTGGTGGTCAGAAGCACAGAAGGGTGAGATCAGATGGGCAGAAGAAGAATTGTGAGTGGAAAAAACACAGGGAGAAGGCAAAAGAAATAATGAAAATCAGGAAGAAGGCAAGGAGAAAGATGGCAAAGAACTGGACAGAAGAGACTCTGCAGAGTGGTCTAAGGCTAGGACAGACTATGTCCACTGGGAGTGTATGCTAGATTACTGGCAACCTTTACCAGAACAGGGCCAGGGGAATGGTGGGGATAGAACCAAGACCATAGTTGACAGGATAAAATGAGATGAGCTGCTTTGCCAGAGATTTATCACTATCCTGTATGCTGTGCAACCCAGGTAGACTGGCAGACAGAAATATTTACAGAGACTAATTTAAGGGTAAGAAGGCCATTTCTGCAGAAGATCCACATTGTATACCTGGATAGAGCATTAAAAAAAATACATCTTTATAATACAACTAATGTTTTAGCCACAAGAAATATCCTATTTTCTGAGTCCTCCTTAGGCAGTATGTACTCTGCTGACATAAGGAACGAGTAAGGCATGGATGACATTGTTAATTTAGGAAACCTATTCACAATTATACCAAAGAAATATAATCCACAAGAAAACAAAAATGGTCCTGCTTGTGGTCAATGCAAGTCAAGTAACAGATGGTATATATCATCTTTTGTGATGAATGCCAAAGACACGAGACACACCTGCACTCTGGCTCCAAGAACCCTTTAAGGATCATGCTATCATCACATACAAACATGACAAAAATGCTTGGTACTGGTCAATACTCTGTTTTGTCTGACCACATCATTTATCTATTTCTACTTTCCCATTTTAAAATGTCGACCCTTATTTGCCTCCCAAAGTATACAGTAAAACTCACCAAGGATTTATTCATTTTCTGCTTCTCCTGGAAAAATTTGGAGAACTGTGAAAGCAGAGGCAGGTCTGGGGAAGGAAAAGGCAAGCAAAAAAGTTATGATCAATCTGGTCTGCGAAGGTAAGAGTCTCCCACGTAGAAACCTACAGCCATGAAGTACACCCTATATGGGAGACTGTCTCTTTAAGCCCTCAGAAGGGCTAGAAAAACAATGAGGAGGGACGCACACCTGCAGATTTGTAACTCATGCATGGTAAATTTGGTGACTGAGAGGGTGTGATTCTCAGTAGGAATGAACACCAAAGTCTATTAAAATAATCTGCCATCGTTAAAGGTAAGATTTTAAAAAGGAATTCTCATCTACTTTCTGACTCATTTAACTACTTAAGATCAGAACACCCACAGGATGTTCTGTAGAAAGGGATACAGGAGGCATAGCTGAATCTTTGTCGCTGCTCAAAGGGATCTTTTATTAAAGACATACTCTGACTTAACTAAGATAAGAGGCAACAGAACACTGACCTAGTGCAAAAAAGTTCTGAGTTCTACTATAAGCAAGCCTACCCACAAACCTGGTGACCTTGGACAAATCACCCAACTGCTAAGGCCCAATCTCTTCCTCTAGCAACTGAGGCAGCGAGAGATACTCCTTGCAGGCTGCTGCGCTATTGTGCCATTCCACAATGGCAGACCTGAAGGGGAATCAGCGGACACTTGGATGAGAAAACAGAGATGCTGACGAAGGCTGAGACGTTCGCAATCTTGAGCGATGACAGCAGGAAGGCGTGGGGACCGAACGTCCGCAGCTGAGCCTGGTGAGACCCCCACCCCATCAGTCTTGTCCTCGCGGATCTTCCCACGGAGCGCCTGCTCCGGGGCGGTCCGTCCTTGTCCTCACACCCAGCCACACGATCAGAACTCTCCCCTGCCCACACCCCAAGGCCCCCGGCACGCGGTGACTTCACCCCAGCCTGCTCGCCCCGGGCCCGAAAACCCACCGCTTACCCCTCCCGGACTCCGCGGCCTCTGCCCCACGGCTCCCTGGAGCTCGGGCGGGGGCGCTTCTCGCTTCTGCTCCCGAGGGGCCGCCCTCCCGACGCCGA